GGCAGCAGATGGAGGTGGAGTCAGCAGGGCCGAGCGGCGCTGCAGCAGCGCCTGAGGCGGCCGCTGGCCCCTCCGACCTCTCGGGGTCCAGCAACAGCAGCGCCGCCGCCAGCAGCAGCAGCAGCAGCAGCAGCAGCAGCAGCAGCAGCAGCGTGCCGGAGAGGCGCTTCGAAGTGAAGAAGTGGAGCGCTGTGGCCCTCTGGGCCTGGGACATTGTGGTGGACAATTGCGCAATTTGCAGAAACCACATAATGGACTTGTGCATAGAGTGCCAGGCCAACCAGGTGACAAACCCTAAACCCTAAACCCTAAACCCTAAACCCTAAACCCTAGGCCCTAGTCCCCAAACCCTAGGCGTGGAGAGGCGGCAGCGGCAGCTAGGGGGGAAAAGCTCTGTTCGCGCGGGGTGCAAAACCCTAGTTCGTAGACTCTAAACCCTAGACAGGCAGCAGCAGCAAACACGCAGCAGTGCAGCAGCCCTAAACCCTAAACCCTAGCTAAACCCTAGCCGCGGAGCGTGAGCGCGTGGAGGCATGCAGCAGCAGCAGCAGCAGCAGACAGAACAGCAGCAGCAGCAGCATCAGGCAGAACAGCAGCCGCAGCAGCAGCAGACAGAACAGCAGCAGACAGAGTAGCAGCAGCAGCAGCAGCAGCAGCAGCATCGAAACGGAGCGTATCTTGGCGGAACTTGCACGGAATTGCGTGCAAAAAGCGGCACAAATAAAGGAAAACAAATTAAGTGGAAGAATTGCATCAAATTAAATGAATTTAATTGATTTTAATCCTTCAAATTGATGCATTTGAACTGCAGGGAGGCAGCAGCAACGAAGAGTGCACTGTGGCCTGGGGTGTCTGCAACCACGCCTTCCACTTCCACTGTATATCCAGGTGGCTGAAGACCCGCCAAGTGTGTCCGCTGGACAACGCGGAGTGGGAGTTTCAGAAGTACGGAAGATGAAATATTCGTTTAAAATAAGCAAAAACAAACAAAAATAAACAAAAATAAACAAAAATCATCTTTAATTCTCCTTATTCCAGCTGGTTTCAGAGTTGTTTGCGCATTTGCTGCGAAAAAACCCAAAAAATCCAACGCCCACACGCCCCTGCAGCCCCGCTGCTGCTGCTGCTGCTGCTGCTGCTGCTGCTGCTGCTGGGGGGGACTCCGAGTGCTGCATCCGGGAAGCTGTTGAAGTGGAAACAATTCGGATTTATTTATTTTCCAAACTCAAATTTATTATTCAACAAATCCCAACTTAGCATTACCAAGAAAAGCTGCTGCTTCCAGCTGCTGCGCAGCAGCAACTTCAACAAGTTCTTTTCGCTTTTCAAAAAGTGAAAATAAATCATTTAATTTAGTTGCGTTGGTATTTATTTATTTATTTATTTATTTACTTATTTATTCACTTTGTAGTACACGTAGCCAGCGCTGCATGCAAATGGGGATGACGCCGTGCTGCTCTTCAGCAGCAGCACCAGTAGTAGCAGCAGCACTAGAAGCAACAGCAGCAGTAGTGGCAGCAGCACTAGCAGCAGCAGTAGCAGCAGCAGGAGCAGCAGCAGAAGCAGCAG